GGAGCTTGGGGCCTTGGGGCTCTGCTTGCCGGTTTGGGAAGCCGTTTGGGTTGTCTTGGTGCCCAATTTTGCTCTCTTGGGGCGCCCTTTGGGTCCTTTTGGGCCCGTGTGACGTCTTGGCTCATCAGAGGCCCGCGAATGCGATTCATTTTCGAATGTTTCAAAACTCTCACAGGAAGCAGTCAGGTTTGCCTCTTCGGACTCCTGGGGTCTCTGGGGAGCCTCCAGGAGGTCTCCGGGGGCCTGCCAGGGCATCTCGGTGGCCTGTCGGGGAGGTCTTGGGGGCCTCTTGAGGGCCTCTTGGGGGCCTCTTGGGAGCCTCTTGGGTCAGTTGGAATCTCACATATTGGGGCCCTGTGGGGGCCACTTTCAGTCGTCTGTAGCGCCTCTTGGGTTGTCTTGGGGCCATCTTGGGTCATCTTGGGGCTCGCTTGGGGGCTTCTTGGGTCGTCGTAGAGCAGTCCTCAAGAGTCCTGAAACGAATCTGCAGGAAATGTACGTTTGCTCATGGCAATGCGGCGATCTTTGCCTCTTGGGGCTCTCTTCGGCGGCGTCTTGCAGCGCTATTGGGGGTTCTGCGGGGCCTCTGAGGCCGCTCGAGAAGTTGTGAGCCGTCTGTGGGCGCATTGGGCCCTCTTGAGCCGCCTTGACGGTGGCCTGAGCGCTCCGGAAGCTGATCTGGGGCCTCCAGGGAATAGGCCAGGCCCCCGGTGCACGCATTTGCGGTCGGGGTCGTGCCCATGGCCCCCTCTGCGCGCGGCCCCCCGTTACATGTGTACGATGTGTGTAGTCTATATATATACATATATATATACACACACGTGTATCAATATCGTTGTAAGTACGTACAGAAATAAGCATGGCTTGACACATCTAGAAACATTGTTGCTGCTGTGTGTATACGCTGCCAAGTCGGCAATGGACCACGGGGTGATGATGTTGCATTGCCAGAGCTGGTGTTGAGATAAGGGTGTCTGCTAACTGCCCAGTGTGCGTCTTCAACATCAGTATTCCCTTGCTCTTGGGTTTCCGCGTTAGCGTTGACGCGCAGTCTTCGCTCGTCTGCGCCCAACAGCGTAGCCGCCAGCCGTGCGCAGGTGGATGCATGGGACAGTCACCGATGGGCGGCCAGTTCGGCATGGCCGGCGCATTCGGTGCTCGTGGGCAGGGGAGGGGACCAGAGCTGGTCAAGCTGGCGCGGCCCACACTACAGCGAGTCTAGGTAAGGTGCAGATATAGTAGAGTGTCTCGTCGTCCACAATGTTGGTCAATGCACAGAGAGATTGATACAGTATTGGAGTGACAACTCGGGTTGTAGCGCATTTAGGGCATGCTTCCATCAATCACGGCCAGGGAAGCTTGTGTAATCATATGGTTTACAAGTGTTGTCATCTCGTTGGCGACCACCTTGAGAGCGAATGTAAGCCGTTTCTGGGGAATCCCGAAGTGTCGTAATGTTCAAAGCTATTTTGACAGTCGCGGATGACGTGGGGGTTCAAGCATTTAGCGTCGCGCAAAGTTGCCGATGCTGGTGCCCTGGGCTGGCGAGGTGCGGGCTACTCCATGACGCCCCAGGGGATGATGGCCCAGGCAGGGACCGGCGCGAACTACCAGGATCCGGGGATCATGCCAGAATGCGTTGCAGAGGCGACGACACCCATGGGTCCGACCTCATGACAAATTTGTAACAGCGTGAAAGGTCATGGCTAGAGATCACAACAGTGTTTGTGAGATGCCTCTCGAGCTGGATCGATACTTGGAGGTCCTGCGCCCCGAGACTGTGCAGGAACGTCCGTCGCGATTTTGGTCTCAACGTCGGGATCTGAGGAGTCCAGGTCCGTGTATGGCGGTGTGATGTTGAGCAGCAGGTTGTTGGCCACCGGTTTGAGAACGTCGATGTTGCAGTCCGCGCATGATCGGTTTCTGAAGCACTGTTGGGCCTTCGTTTGGGCCAGTGTGGCGGTCTGGCGGTTATTCTGTCGCCGTCAACGCCTCGTCGCCGTCTCATTGCCGCCCGTCGTCTGGGCCAGTGTGGCGGTCTGGCGGCTATGTTGTCGCCATCGCCGCCTTGTCGCCGACTCGTCGCGGCCTCCTCGGTTGCACCACATTTTTTGCAACACGCAGCTTGCACCACATCATTTTGTACCACGTAGATTGCACCACATAGGTTGCACACCATAGATCGCGGCACATGGTGTGCGCCACGTAGATTGCACAACATGCATTGCGCCAGCGTGATCGCACCGCATAGATTCTCCATTCGAAAAAAAAATGCCCCCCCCCCCAGATTTTACCGGCTCCCGTTCCGTGTTGCAATGTACGCGCGATTTTGCCCAATTGGCCATCCTAAATATGAATTCGCACCATCCCAGCCAGGCCAGTATCGACAATCCCTTTCATCCTCCGCAGAAAAGCATTGCGCGCACATCCGTTTCTCAAAAATCATCCATTTCCGAAAACTTGTTTGCAACAGATGTGACGAAGTGCGTACGCGCGCGTCGTCGCGCGCGTGTGCCGAAATCTTTTTGGAAATAACCATACGTTCCGCAAGGATTTCAAAACCGAGTGCCCCAACAACATACAACCAACACATGGTGTTGCAACATGAATGATCAAACAAAGCTGGCGCTCGCGCTTTTGCATATTCCCAAGAGAACCATAGGTTTTCAAACACTTTCATAACACGCTACCAATCGGGCTTCTCGCGCGCGCATATCGGAATCACGAGAACGCCCTTGCGCGCGTGCTTGGGGGGGAGCACGATCCGTTTCAAAGAATACCATGCGGGCCAATCTCGCGCGTCGGCCGCTCGCGCATGTCGAACCCTTTCGAAAACCTCCATCACCGACGCGAGGACGCCGTCATCGTCGTCGGCGTGATCAGTAAGGACGCCGTCACTGGCCTTGCCGTCATGGTTGTCTCCATCGCCATCAGCATCGCTACTGCCATCATCGCGTCTACCGTTGCCGACGTTGCCATGATACCGCGCCCGCCCAAGTCTTCGACTCGAAGTGAAATGCCCGCTGGGAAGTGCCCAGCGGTCAGCGCCACCGCGGCCGCGTCGGTCGCGCCAAAGTAGTTGGCCGCTGCGCGCATGTGAATGCGCGTGCTAGCGCGCCCACAGAGATGCACCAGCCAACCCCAAGCACTCATCGCAATCGCCGCCGCCTGCGTTTTGCAAACCAAGTTGCGGATGGGTGGGTGGGATGATTACGCGAGGAGTGGAGTTGACAATTCATGGCAACATAAATTAATCACCACATAGATTCTCCTTTCTAAAAGACTAATAGATTCTACCCCCCCCCCCGGACTTATCGGCTACCCCGCGCGTGCTGTAAATTACATATGATTCTGACCACATGTCCATCCGAAATATGAATTCATACCATCCCAGCCAAGCCGGGTTCCCCCCCCCTGCGGGTCCCTCGTAAAAAACACTATGCGGTGACAGTTTTTGTTCCAACATAGCATTTTTTCACGAATCCCTTGCAAAAAATGGGACGAAGTGCGCACGCGCGCGTCGTGGCGCGCGCATGCCGAAATCCTTCAAAAACCTTCGGTTCCGGAGAGATTTCAAAATTGAATTTCCAAAACAATATAAAAACACATGGTTTCGCAACACTGATTCAAAAAAAAACTTACGCGCGAGCACTTGCGAAATCTTAAGAAAACCATAGGTTTTCCTAGATTTTCACAAAATGCTACCAAACGGGCTTCGCGCGCGCGCATGTCGAAATCTGTCGAACGCTCTTGCGCGTGTGCCGTCGCGAGAATCCTTTGCAACAAAATGGGACGAAGTGCAGACGCGCGCGTCGTCGCGGGCGTATGCCCAAATCCTTCAAAAACCTCCGGTTTCGGAAGAATTTCGAAATCGTGCGTCCAAAAAACCTACAAAAACACAAGGTTTCGCAACACGGGTTTTCAACAAAATTGTGCGCGCGCGCTCTTGCGTCGTCGTCGTCGTCGTCCTCCCTCCTCCCTCGTCGTCGTCGTCGTCGTCGCCGTCGTCGTCTTCTGTCTTTCCTCTTCGTCTTTGGCGTCGTCGTCGTTTCCGTCGTCGTTGTCGCCGTGGTCGTCCTTCCTCCCTCGTTGTCTTCGTCGGCGTCTCGTCGTTGTCCCTCCTATTTCGTCGCCGTCGTCGTCGTCGTCGTCGTCGTCGTGGTCTTCACTCCTCCCTCGTCGTTATCCTCCTCCCTCGTCGTCGTCGTCCGTCGTCGGCGTCTCGTCGTCGTCCCTCCTATTTCGTCGCCGTCGTCGTCGTCTTCGTCGTCGTTGTCATCGTCGTCGTCTTCCCTCCTCCCTCGTCGTTGTCGTCGTCGGCGTCGCCGTCCTTCCTCCTTCTTCGTCGTTGGCGTCGTCGCCGTCTTCCCTCCTCCATCGTCGTTGTCGTCGTTGTCGCCGTCGTCGTTTTTTCTCCTCCCTCGTCGTCGTCTCCGTTGGCGACGTCGTCGTCGTCTTCGTCGTCGTCGTCGGCGTCGTTGTCGTCGTCGTCGGTGTCGTCGTCGTCGTTGTCGTCGTCGAAAACATTGGAGACGTCGTCGGTGTCGTCGCAGTCGCTGTCGGCGGCGCCGTCGTCGTCGATGTCGCTGTCGTCGTCGGCATCGGTGTCGTGGCCAAGTGCCACGCAGTACCTACCGTCACGGTCTTGTCTGAAGATGTCTTGCGACCAAGTTGCGGGTGGGAGGGTGGGATGTTTGCACGAGCAGTGGAGAGGACAGCTTCAAGACAGTCGAAGTGGATTGCGCACGATAGGTTGCACCCTATCGGTTGCACCCTGCACCTGTGTATATATATGTGTATATATATATATATACATATGTACAAATATTGCACCACATAAACTGCCCACCATAGGTCGCACACCATGGATTGCCAAATGTCAATTGGGCTGCACCTGCTACACAATCTCGACCGCGCAACACGGACTGCGGGAAGCAGGGGGGCCAAAGGAACATGGCAGACGGAACAAAGAAATTTGAGGATCATGTTGTGAGGTATGAGGGAAGGACAGGATGTGGAGGGAGAGCGAAGGAGGTGGAGGAACAGAGCAGTAAGCAGGAGACAGCTGGAGAAGGAGAAGGGGGACCGATGAACTAGAAAGAGGAAGGGACGAGGGCGGAAGAGGAGGAGGAGGATGCGGATGACGAAGGAAGGGGGACTTGACGGAAGCAGGGTAAGGAACAGGATTCCTGTCTCAAGCGAGCCCGATTCGATCTTCACTGCAAGAGGCTGCCGATCGAAACCAACGAATGGAGCCGTCTTAAAGTTGGAGTGTGGTCAACAAAATGACGTTCAGCACTGCCGTTGCTGGGCTCGCTGCCTCCATCTTTATCATGTAATTAACTTCGCCATGTCCGCGGTTGCTACTGAGACTTCCATCGTATTGACGCGAAGGATCCAGCGGGCATGTATAACGCTTTCCAGGCGCAGAACGCCGCGGCATCGCAGTTCAACGCCTTCCAGGGATTCCAGGCCTCCGTCGCCCTGGTACTTGCAATCTGATTTGTCCGACGTGATCTTATCGATGCATCCCTTTTCTGGTCGTGATCATTCTGGGAGCTCTATGATTGTCCTCTACCAGGGAACTGAACTTTCTGTCCTTCGACAAAGAGAGTGGGGACATGCAAAGTATTTTGGGTTTGGAAAGAGCGATGGTAAGGAGCATGCAGAGAAGGTCTCGGTATGAGGAGGCATATGTTGATGATTGACGCTGGTGCGGAAGACAAGAAGCAAGCACAAGTGAGCACGCATTATACGAGAAAGAGATACAACAAGACAGAGGGAGAGAGAGAGAGAGAGAGACAGAGATAGTGAGAACGAGAAGACAGCTTGCCAGAGCGGTGCCCGCACTGTGGGTTGCGTATTGCGCGAGGAGTGGGAGGGGGAGGAGGAGGAGGAGGAGGGGGAGGAGGAGGAGGAGGAGGAGGAGGAGGAGGAGGAGGAGGGGGAGGAGGAGGAGGAGGAGGAGGAGGAGGAGGAGGAGGAGGAGGAGGAGGAGGAGGAGGTGCGATGCAAAGTGTGTGATGACAACTGTGTGGTGCAAATGTGGCGCCCACCGAGGCGGCCACGGGCGGACCTCCGCCGGCCACCGGGCGAGGCCTCGGCAGACCCAGCCAGGTGTTGAGGTAGGCCAGAACCCTCCAGTGTTGAGTCGGGACTGTCCCTCTACAGGGGGAATATTAAAAAAATAGTCAAAAAAAACAGTCTGGGGACCATTTTGGGGGTATTTTTGAATATTTTTGAGCATCGTGGGGGTACGGTAGGTTAGTGTCGTGTCGACCGGCGGCGACCCCGCCAGCGGCGTTCAACCTTGAACGCCGCAGGCGGCCCAGAATCGTTCGATGTGGAACGATTTGGGCGTTTCGGAAACGGCCGATCGTTCAAGGTTGGACGATCCAGCGCGGCGTCAGGAACCACCGCCGGGGTCGACTCGACGCGAACTTGCCGTAGGCCAGAACCCTCCAGTGTTGAGTCGGGCCTGTCCCTCTACAGGGGGAGTATTCAAAAATAGTAAAAAAAAAAAAACAGTCTGGGGACCATTTGGGGTGTATTTTTCTGAGTAGTTTTGAACATTTTGGGGGTATGTTCTTTATTTTTCGTCCAAGCTCCCCCTGTAGGGGGGCAGGCCCGATCTAATTCCAGTGCAAGGGATACGTGGGAAGAACAAGGAGTGTGACGAAGCCGGCCGGTCGCAATGTCCTTGCGTGCGTGGCCGTTAGGTCGAGCAGTGGCGAAGCGTCCCAGCTCGCCTGTGGGCCTACCAGAGAATGTTATAATAATCGGTTGTTTTCCGCACGAAATGTTCTTTGAACATTTCTGGCTGAGTCTGTTTTGTTTTCACACATCGGGTATATGTTCTAAGAACCTCGTTTTTGATCTTCGAACACCGTGGGGTTCCAGGAAGACGCCGTGGTAGGCCTATAGGGATGCCGGGACGGTCGGTCCCTGCTCAATTGGGGGGATCCGCCGTGCGGACTTCCGTTGTTCTTTCTGGACGCCCGAAATGGGCACGGAAAGAATGGGTACAATGCCCAACAGCAGTTCTTGTTCATTTTGAACCGGGTTCGCTGTCCACGCCGCCGCGGCCTGTGTCCGTTCGAGACAGAAGGCCGCCTGCCCAGCAGCGGCCGCTGTTGGCTTGGGACAACATTTGCTGTTGGGCATTGTGCCCATTTTTTCCGTACCCATTTCGGTCGGGCGTCCAGAATGTCCCCCGATGGCCCCTCGGGAGTCCGCAGACGCCATTGGGCACCCTGGGAAACTCCAAGCTCGACGACAAGCGCGTCGTCGAGGAAAAGCGCGTCGTCGGGCGTCCAAACTCTTGTCGTTGCCGTTGCCCCCCGGCGCGCCCCGCCCACGCCCGCCCGCACGCGTGGCGGTGCAGAGCGAGGCCGCCTGCCACCCGCCTGCCCCGAGGCCCGCGCCCAACGCCACCCGCGCCCACCGCGACGCGCGCCCACCGCCCCGCCTCCTCCTCCCCCCTCCTCCTCCTCCCTCCTCCTCCTCCTCCTCCTCCTCCTCCCTCCTCCTCCTCCTCCTCCTCCTCCTCCTCCTCCTCCTCCTCCTCCTCCTCCTCCTCCTCCTCCCTGCGCGGCGCCTGCTGCCCCAGAATTGGGCCCAGCCTGGCCAGGGCGGGGGGGGCCCTCGAGGCCATGCGCCGTCGCACGCCTGGCTGGGCCACTAGGAGGGAGCAGACATCGGACCGGTGGCAATGGGGGGTGACCTGACTGGGGGGTAAAGAAGAAGGCCTTTTACAGGGGCGCCTGAGGGCCCCCTTGTAGAGCCACCGGGGGCCCAGAAGGGACCCTCATGTGCCCCTGTAGGACCTTTTTCTTCACCGACCCTTTAGGTCACCCCCCGTTGCCACCCCGCCCGAGATGATCCCACCGGAACGACGGGCCAAAAACGGGGTTGTCTGACCCGACATTGGCGCGCAAGCTTCCCGCGCAGGGGCGCGCGTAAGCACCCTCGTTTCCAATGCAGCGTGCCGCTCGAGCGGCCCGCGTAAGCCGCCGCGTGAGGTCGCTGTGCCATCTCGCGTAAGACCCTTTTACTTGGCATCGCTCGGACGTGTGCATTTTTTTCTTGGCGAGACCCATCGAGGACCATCTTGGACCATCGAGAAAAACAAAACACGCACGAAACCGAAAAAGGCACGGGAAATGGACGTCCGAGCGACGGCAAGTTTAGGACCGTCGTTCGCCTGGCTCCCGTGCCCGCCCTGTCCCGTTCCGCCTGCGCGCGTCTCCCTCGAGTCGTGGTCCCAGTCGAGGCCTGATGAGGCGGGCTTGTGTGCTTCAGTGTCACGAGGCTCTTCCCCATCGAGGCTGCCCGACCTGCCGACGGTCGACCCGCATAGTAAGGGTACCCTTGCATCCTTGCCTCCTCGGTCCATCCTTGGCCACTTTCGTGGGCCGTGCCCCGCTCGAAAAACTTCGAGATGGCCTTCCAAGGCCCCTGCATCCTTATCGCGCATTCTTATGAGATGGGCTGGCTGTATCTTCCCCCCCACTCGTGCCCGGCCCATCCCCTGCGCGACCGAGGCGGGCTTTCGGCCCCGTCGCGTCTCTCCGTGCCCTCCTCGTCCCTCTCGTCTGTCTCCCGCCCGCCCGCCTCCCTTCCACTTCTTCGATGTTTGTCACCCCCTCCCTCTCCGCCAGCTGCCCCCCCGAATGTTGAGCCCAGCGTCCATATGATGTCCATCCCTACGCTGGCCATGCCACCTTCGCACGCATTCCTTGTCTGTCCTCTTGACGGGCAACTGTTTCGAGCTCTTCCGCAATGCGTTGCGCGAGGGCTTCTTTGATGGTACCCGACTGTTCAACCTATAGGGCGATTATTGTGCAACAAGTGTCATTGTTTCTGCGCGATTTCACTTGGGGTATGCTTGCAGTTGCTTCGCAGTTCATGTTCCGCCTGTCAGCGTATCTTGTGGGCTACACGTTTCCAGATTCGGGCGTCAGTCGACGCGATCAAGACGTCAGCAATGCAAGATGCATCATGCATGAGGCCCGCAGTGCTGCGGACCACGCTGGCAAGTTACATGTATCCATGTCTTGCGTCTGCATGCCACTGCTGAGTCGTAGATGCATCGAAACTCAGGGCTCCCCTACCACCGCGGTCCGTTGCGGTCGCATGCTACGGAGCGCGCACTGCGTGCGACCCCGCTCCCGACATCGGGCCTGTCTTACTTGTCCACGCTGCTTGCTGTTGGTCTTGCGGCTCGCCGGCACGCCTATTCCGACAGATGACGAGTTAGTCAATACAGGCTTATGAATCGCAGGGGAGGTCCCATGAGGCAAAAACATGGTTTGGAAAGGTTGGGTTGTATCTGAATATGGGGCGCTGCGTGGCAACCGAAGTTCACAATCCAATTCATTTGTTTGCCAGGTACGATTGACCTTGTGGTGGGAGGCGCCAGCTAAAACAGGCGGTCAATGCTGCGTCGTGCCCGCTGAGTTCTTGGATTTTCATAGCGTGTCAGATGGCTAGCGAACTTCGACAGAGTTCGGATCCCTGTTGCAGTTGGATGGGTCGATCGAATCGTTATTGTGGGTGCCTTGCCTGGTGTGCTTTGGTCTTCTTTGATTTACGTTCGTGCCTGTGCAATTGCCATTGCTGACAACTCAAGCCTGGATGCCCAGGCAAATGCCCAGCAGAACTCCATGGGCCAGACTATGCAGCAGTTTGGCCAGATGGGCCAGGCGCAGCAGGCTGAGCAGCCAGCATGGGTTTCCTGTTCGTCTAAAGCCCAGTGTCACAGTGTTGTGGTGTACACCTTAGGCGATGCTTAAGAAAACTTAAGTTTTCGGCCGGAGTCTCGATTATTCTTAACGTTTCAATGTAAATCTTAAGATTTGAATGGAAATGTTGGGTTTTTATTCAAGTTCTGAGACTATGAATTTCTTAACCCATGATTTCTTAAGCATTTCGCAGGGTGTAGCGTCATGTGACGGGAGTGGTGAGTTGTGTCGCGTGCGTTCTGCTCCAGCTTCTGTTTTGGCGGCCCTGCTCCGCAGTACACCGTACAGTGCCGCACAGTGGTGCCGCGTGTTGTGCGAAGTTCGAATTTGGTGTCCCACATATCTCCTAGCCGTGCGGTGCTGTGTCTTTGACGTCTGCGTGTGGTTGACAGGGTCTTGGCACTCAGCAGAACAACGGACAAATCCAACAGTTATATATTAGAAATACTTCGTCTGATTCTACTAAACAAGCATTATAATCAGCTTGTCTACAGTGGTCGTCAACACGTCTTGTGCATTCGCTCGGGTAGTTAATGCTGCAAGATAGTTCTCGCATATGTTAACAAATGGATGTGCTGTTGCGTGCAGGCGCGATAGCTATGCCGTAGCGCATCGTAGCACTGCCTCCTCCCCCTTCATTCTGCAGCCAGCCACCCGTCGCTCAAGTTATTGATTCCCCAAATCGGGCGCGGATGGGTGCGAGCGTCAGGCTTGTAGGGACCCCCTTCGGCGTGATGCCCTCCGTTTATGTGCTCCTGGCCAGTCGCTCCAGCTGCTTGGCGAGCGAAAGGAATAGTCGACATGCACGTGTCGCAACCCCGGTGCGTTCCGTGGGGTGTCACCGCAGTGACGGAGTTCAGAGGAGGAACACATATTGACACGGTGGCCGGACAAAGAGTGTCCTCACCCATGCCAAGAAGACCATGTCACGTGACGTGGAATAACATCTTGCGTATTGTGTGTCCCGCCCCCTTCCCCCCCTAGCCCCCTCCCCCCCAAGCCCACAGTTGAAGTGTCCACATGTTGTTCTTCGCGCGTTGCCTCGCGCGCACCGCTGCCAGCTTTGGCTTGGGGGGGGGGCAGGGGGCTATCGATTCTTGTTGGCAGCACTCCGCCGTAGCGTTGCACCGGCGCGATCGGCGTGGACACCTCTTGCCCACCCACCGTGCCGCTGCCCGTCTTGCCCGCCCCTCCTTGCCACTGTGGCATTCGCCTCGACATCCTGGGCCCTCATCTCCGGCCCAAGGCCGAAGTATAGGAGCAAGAAGAAGAGGAGGAGGGGAAGGAGGAGGAGGAGGAGGAGGAGGAGGAGGAGGAAGGGGAGGGGGAGGAGGAGGGGGAGGAGGAGGGGGAGGATGAGGAGGGGGAGGAGGAGGAGGAGGAGGAGGAGGAGGAGGGAGGAGGAGGAGGGGTCGGTGGAACGCGCCACGGTAGCGCTGTAGGTTTGCGCCGTGCCGCCCGGCGGCCACCCCTTCTGCGGGCGTTCCACGGGTGGAGCGCCGCCGGGGGCCCAGCATCAGCCGATGTGGCACGAGCGGGCGCTCGAAGATCAGGAGGGAAAGAAACACACAGACACAACTAATCGTCGGCTCCCAGAGAATAGGGGGAAAAATATAGGAAGTGGGGGGGGGAAGACAAAAACCCCAAAAATATGGGAAGATGTGGGGAATCCGGTGACTTGGGTGTATTTATTTGTGTGTCCCAGGGCCCCTTCAGAAGAGCCGCGGGGACCGTTCTGGGTGGAGCCCTCCCCGAGGGGTCGGGGACCCAAGGCCGGTGCCGACACGGCACGGGCTTTTACCGTATAGCGGCACCGGCGCGCTCTTTGTGGTGCTTCCCGGGGCGAGCACGGTCGGACGGGCTTTCTGTTTCGGTCTGTCGGCTTGGTCTGTGGGAAAGCACACAAAGGCACACAAAACAAGAACACACACAGACTGTGTGCTTGTTGTCCACAGACTGTCTGTTTTTGTGTGCTTGCTGTCCACAAGCTGTATGTTTTTGTCCACGCACTTTTGTTGTTCCTCGAGGGGCGAGCACGGTCGGACAAAAAGGCCTGCTGTTTCTGTCTGCTGGGGCTTGGTCTCTCTTTGCGGTCCGTCTCGGGGTGCCCCCCGGCAGGCGCAGACGTTGGGGAGCGGCCGCTACGACGAGGACGTCGAGAGGCAGCTGGAGAGGTGGGTGGAGGCAAAGCGAACTCGCGACTTCAGGCCCGCGGCTGGATTCCGTGCCAGGGTGAGAAATGAAGTGAGGAGTTGTAGTTGGCTGGTTTGGAGACATTCGAGGTGGGCGAGATGGGAGGCCATGGGGTGTAGACAAAGAGAGAGTGATAAACAACAGCTCTACAGAGAGAGAGAGAGGAAAACACAAAAGACATAGTGTCTGCGAAATAGAGAGGGAGAGAGAGAGAAAGAGAGAGAGAGAGAGACTGCGAGAGAAGGATAGAGGGGGGAAGAGAGAGAGAGAGAGTCGGAGAGTGAGAGAGAGAGAGAGTGAGAGAGACATTTTGAAGCTATTGGGGGAGAGAGAGAGAGAGAGAGAAAGACAGAGAGAGAGAGAGAGAGAGAGAGAGAGAGACCGAGAGAGGGAGAAAGAGAAAGAGAGAGAGCGATGCAGAGAGCAGCGTTGAGAGTTCGGCTGCTTTACGGCCTGAGTGCAGTCGGAGTTCTAGTTACAGATGCGATATTCTGGGAACGGGACATCGGCAACACGACGATCAAATAAGAAGGAAAGGACGAGCCAACCGAAAAGAGTTATCTTGACCAGTATTCTCACGGAGCTGGCCCAGCCCACACGGAGCGCTCTACCAGCAGAAACTCGTGCCAGCGGCAGTGGTGAAACATGGGACTTCGACGTGACTCTTCATGAGTTGGTCTCGAGCGCCTCCCTCGCTCCGCCCCCCCCGCCCCCCCCCATTCCTCCCGGGACAGCTCCCTGTACACCCAGTGGGCTTGCAGTGGGCTTGCGACCCCCGCTGGGCAGAGCGCCGTCGGAGACTCCTCCTTGTGGGCCCGCCGCCCGTGAGAGGCAGCCTCTCAGCGCATCGTCACGGTCTTATGCTGCGTCCTCCGCCGTCCCCCCGCTCATCTTCTTCATTCCTGATCCATCTGGGAGAATGTCTTGCCGCCGTTGCCACATGTCGCGCGGGGTCCTGAGGCGGTTTCTGATTTCCACGGCCCCTCTTCCTCATGTTTCTGGTCCTGTCATTTCTGCTCCTCCGCCGCCTTCTCCTCCTCCATATCCCCTTCATTCTCATCCTGTCCGCACCGCTTGCCCACCTGGCACCGAACCTTCCAGGGGATTGGACGACCTCCTACGTACCTACTCCAGGAGATAGGGCGACCTTTCTCCACGTCCTCCCCTCTTCCCCCTCGCATTCCTCAAGGATGAAGAAGGATGATGACCGCCCCGCCAGGACGGCCGACGAGATACGCGTAGGACTGAGGGCCAGGGGCATCGACCCGGACACCGTCCGGCCCTCCGACAGCGGCGGGGACGCCAAGCGCCTGAGGATCAGCTGAAGTATGAAGCGCGTCGCGGCAGGGCTCGGGGCTGCGCGCGAGCAGCCCCCCTCCCGCTGGCAGTCCGGGCCTTTGGCCTCGACGGGGCCTCCCGAGCAGTCCCTGGAGCGGTGCCCCGTCGACGCCCGCGTCGGCGCCCCCGCGGGGTCGCTCCGCGGCCCCGGAAGTTGGGGCTTGGAGAGACCGCCTCGGGCTGCCCGTGGGGGCCCTGGTTGGCGCCGGGCGCGGGCTGCACCGCTGTGGCCTGCCTGCGCGCAGCCCCGGGCCCGTGCCGCCTTGTATTGTTCGGAGGCTCCCGGCGGTTTCACAGTGAGCAAGATCCGCTAGACGCTAGATGCGAAGTTGGCTTGTTACAAAAAAGGCGTTCGCGCCGCCTGGTTGCTTCAAGTGAGTACGCCGCCGGCCTTCCTATCTGCGGCAGGTGTTGGTTGCCAATCTCGTTGGCCAGACACAAGGTGGACGGATGAGGAGGAGGAGGAGGAGGAGGAGGAGGAGGAGGAGGTAAGAAATGCAGAACCCGAGAGAAGGCGTCCGGGCGACTTCCCGATGGGAGGGGGAGGAATGGAGCTCATTCGACGGGAGATGGACGGGAGCCATTCTCATTCGATCGATCCACTTGGATGTCCGATCGAATTGCGATGCTCCGACGATCCCGTGCGGCCCGATGCTTCCACGGCGCAGTTCTGTGCTTCTGGCGCGGCCCGGTCGACTTCGAGCTCGGCTCGGTGCCAGTGCCACTATGCCAGGGCGGCTGGATCTCGGGGCACGCCCCGATCCAATGCGGTGCGGCGCCTCGACGCTGATGGGTCCAGGGAAGGTATGCGAGCCAAGCCTCAGCATCGCTCGGACTTGTGCAGTTTCCCTGGCGAGGGCCATCGAGGAGCATCCTGGATCCTCTAGCGAAGACATGCACGCACGAAATCGAACAATCCACAGGGCATGGACGACCGAGCGATGGCGAGGGGGGGGGGGCACGAGCAGGAGGAGGCGGCAGGCGGCGGACGTCAGGCGAGGGCGGCATCAGCCTGGGCGAGTAGGCGGGAGACCTTCGGGCCCAGCTTCTCGGGAGAGGGCCACCTGCGCGTGGCGGCGGCGACGCTGCCAGAGCGCTGCTCGAAGAAGACGGGCAACAGGAGGGGAAAGGGGGCGGGAGGGGGGTGGGAGGTTGGAGTGGGGACAAGCCGGCTGCTGTGGTCGAACAGCGCCACGAGTGAAGACCTCGGTGACCGAAGATGGGGACGGGTCCGTCCTGGCAATACAATCGTGTTGCAGCGCAACACCTCGTATACCATATTCACCCCAGGCATGTGTGGCCCCGATGAGATTCGCCTCAGATAGGTGCTGGTCCCAGAGTCAGTAGGCCAGGATGTTGGAGAGGGAAGGTTTGGGCCTGAGTGAGCCTGGGGACCCGCAGGATCTCTTGACCTCCTGTGTGGTTGGTTCCGTACGCCAGCCCACAGTCTCATTGCCGTGGTGCGCTCTGCGTGTCACCACGCATCCCTCCCAGACTCGTTCTCCCGAGCCCTCCTGGCACCGACGTGCTCGACGTGAGCGGGCGTCGTCAAGGGTACTTGTGCGTCTAGGATCACTCCTCCAGGATCACCACAGCGCCCAGAGAAGCCCGCAAATGACCAGCAATGGCTCGTGCTCGAGACTGAATCAAATGCACAGCTTGCGGGTGTGGCATGCAAGAGCTCATCGTGGTGGAGACGGTGCAAGCACTGCCGCGGGCCGCCACCGACGACGAGTATTGGCAGGGATCGTAGGGCTGCTGGCATGGATCAGCCATCTGCTCTCGACGCGCAGCGGTGGCCGTGGAGGCAGAGGAGGCCCAGCGTGGGAGGTTCCAGAGGAAGGTTGCCCAGCGTCGACTTTGAGGATGGCTCTTCCCCGAGCGACTTACGAGGTGATCGGAACAAAGAAATGGAGACGCCCACAGAGGAGCACCGTCTTTCAGATCTTGTCGCGTTCAGCGCCGAAGCTGGAGACGACGATGCAGACAGCAAGTATAAGCATCAGCTCGATGACCACAAGCGCCATCAGCAGGAGGCCAACGTGTCCGTCGGTCAATGAATCAAAGAGTGCAGCGTCTTGAAGCAACCTTTCGCAAGGCGCTCGGGCGACGTGAGAGGCTCGAGCAACAACAGCAAGAGGCAGAGGAAGAGGCCACCACAAGTTCAGCTGAGGTGGATGCCGCGCGTGCGTTGTACGTGACTGCGGTCAAAAAGTTGGCTGCAGCGGTGGCCACAGACAACACTTCAGGCCAGTCGAGTTGCACCACGGAAATTTAGCCTGGTAGCTCTCGTGGGTGGACCAAAAATCATATTTGACGAGGGGGATCGTTTCCTCCGGAGAGCATGGCGATATTGCCACGGAAGTTGGCAAGCGGGAGTCCAAACGTCCGAAAATGCCTTCCTAACTCGATTCGCGCAGGTTGCCGATGTTTGCTTCGGGGAGCTCAAGGAGAAGGTTGAGGTCATCAAAGACAAGCAGGCCAGGCCGCGTGAGAGGCCCAAACCGAAGCGGTCTCGCTGTGCGGAGCCTGATGGGGCCCAGTCAAGCCACGGACACGGGTCCCGACACACCTAGAACATATGCGCCCACAGCATGCACATCCTTAGGACCGCCCCTAGCACCGCAGCCGCAACAAGCTGGAAAGGCCACTGATGGCGCTGGACCGCCCGTCGAGGCCGGAGCACCAACAGCAGGTGCCAGCCATGCCCAGCGTAAGCAGGATAATGGTACTTCAGTGGTTGCAGATGATAAGGCTGGGCTTGCTAGTGCTAGCAGCGCGGCCAGACCTAAGCGAGGCGCGTAGCACTGGATGGACTCCGCGGTTCACAGCCAGCTCGAGCTCAAGTTTGACGGTTGTTCCGATGAGTGCTACGTTTGGGAGCGAGAGCTGAGCGAACCGTGGCCAGGACAAGAGTATGCCACCAGAACATTCCATGCGGGGGCCAGATGTCGGAAGGGACGCGTGGAAATGATCGGATCTGTACCGATCATTATTCACAGCTTGTCACTATTTCCGTAGCCGTAACCCCCGGGAAGCAGCTTCGAGTGCTGCGGGGAGCTCCGCGGCTGCAGGGTCGGGATTGAGTTCGGGGCCCTGCAGTGGCGACGACGGCGCCTACGAGAGGCAGCCCGAACGGCCATTTTAGCCAGCTTCAATTGCCACCACTGGGGCGATTTACTTATTGTCAGTGGTCCTCAGAGAATCTGCGCGGCAGCAGTGGCCAGGTTTACTCGAGCGGTCACGAGTGCAGAAGTGACCGCGACAGCATCGACGACGCTCGCGACCCCAGCGGCGCTGCCGACTGGACCCAGGGAGGCAAGACGCCGACTGGGCGTCGACCTGATTTTTTTGAGTTTCCCCGTTTTGCCTGTGCCCCCATGGCGGAGCTCGCTGCTCGCCGAAATCCCTCATCAGAGGGCGCCGACCTCTTGGGGCTGAGATCGCCGTGCCGCTTGCTGGACGCGAGAGTGGAATGCAAATCGGGGCCGCGAATCCGACGCCTCTGGCGCAGTGCCAGAGGCTGCATGCGACGTGGCCATCGGGCTCGCGCTTCCTAGCGGCGCGCCCCCGACGCTCTACATCGCGACGACTCAGCTGCCAGACGAAACTGGATGGGGCGGCGCGAGCATCGCGCTTACGACTGCACGTCGCTCAGCGTGGGTCAGCAGAAAGAGGGTGGCCAGAAGGGCGCGCGGGGCGCTCGACGGCAACGGAGATCTGCGACGACGCGAAGAGGACCGCCAGCATAATCGGGCGCCCGTCTCCGCGCTGCGTGGCGAGCTCAGCAGGCGAGAGCCCCATCGGGTGCGCCAGTCGCCTGCGGCGCGCCACCATTCTCGCGGGCTTGCCAGTGCCCGGCTAATTATCTCATGGCGACGTGGACGTGGCCAGACCCAAGAATGCACGAGGAAGGAGAAGCCTTCGTCAGCTGGAAGTCATCTTGCCAGTCCCTGGTTTTCACGCGGTTGACGGATCCCGAGTCATGGTAGGTCGCCCAGGGGTCTGCCTCCGAGCATGGCCGCGACGCCAGTGGGGCAAAGACTGTTCGAGCGAGACACAGTAGTGGGATATCGCGGACGGAAAAGGGCAAGAGCGGGTTGGCCGCCAGGCCCACCAGCGGAATTATCGCGAGGAGACGCGCAGGCACGTTGACGAGCTGAGAGCGCCGCAGATATGGAAGTCTCGACGGGTCCGCAGCAGTCCCAGGGCCAGGTTGGCAGAGGTCCATCTCTCGAGGCCCTTTGCGCCTTCTGCGCCATCGGCTACGAATTGCCCTGCGCGGCAGTTGCGCGCAGGTGACGTTGGCGCCAATCTTCGCAGCTCCCGACGGAGCATTGCTTGATCGTCGCGCGCGGACTGGCGCTTCATCGCGATCAGCACCAGCGCGTGGCCCAGTTTCCAGAACGCACGCGAGCGGCAGCTCTCTCGGGGCGCCCGGAAGGCCCATGCCTGGGACGTCGGGGAAACGCGGTTGGGGAGGGCTGCTTTGGAGAAGGCCTCCAGATGGGTCTTGGGCCGGAGTTGCCGCGACAGCTTTTGCGAGGCCAGCCGCGTGGAAGATCGCGGCCTGGCGACGAGCGCGGGGCACTGTTGCCGCGGCGACGCGCGCCAGTTGCAAGGGAGCCAGTCACGTGGAAACGGGGTTGAGCGTCAGCACGGGGCATAGTTTCAGCCGTGCTTTTTTTTTTTTGCGTTACCGTCCCTGCCGGAGCCGCGGTTCACGGTCCGCGCCCGCCTGGGCAAGGCGTGATTTGGAGAAAAACTGGGGGCTGAATGAACTGCCGGCAGAGCTGCCGGAGCTCTTCGACCCCGGGGGGAGATTTCAGCGCGGCGCCAAAAACCCAGGGCTCCGCAAGTGGAGCCAGCTGTTAGGCGCCAGAAGTGCATCGCCTGCACGCGCAGTTCTTGCTCCAGATGCAGGCGCGAGCGGGCGCCTCGACTTCTTCGTGGTTTCGCGCGGCGTGGCCGATGGCGTCGTTGACTC